AGGTCAGCAGCGGCAGCGGGTTGCTGTCAGCCCCGCAGAGCAGGCTGACATGCGAGCCCTCGATGGCCTCCACGGAGGAGTTCATCTCCACAATCACCGGGGGGTCTGAGGTTGGCACACAGCGGGGGTCAGCGGACAGGGGGCGCAGACCCCGCCCCTGGCCCTGACCCCGCCCCCAGGCCCTCCCCAAGGCTCACACTTGACGTCCAGGCTGGCGTAGCCCTCAAACAGCAAGGAGGTGTTCGGGAAGGAAGCCTGGCAGCCCAGCCGGTGGCCGTTGGCCTCCCTAGTGGGCACAAAGTGTAGCAGTGACACCTGCACCCAGGTGCCTTCATCCTCGCGCAGCCGACCTAGCACAGCCGGCTCCCCCAGCCCGTCATGGCCCAGCCAGCTCAGCTCTGGGCGCAGCTCTGGGCAGTTGTCAGGCACCATGCAGCTGACCTCCACTTCTGTGCCTTCCACCACCTCCGGGGGGACCACAATGTTGGGAGTGTCTAGGTGAAGTGGGGAGAAGGAGGGTTGAGGAAGCAGCACCAGGCTACACAACAGCCCCACCTTGTCCAACCCCATTCCTGGTACCTGTTCCTCTCCTCATCCTTGGATACAGAATTCCCTACAACCTTTTCTCCTCCTGGTTTCCCTTCACCCAGAAGTCCTCCACAGATCCTGTGCATATGTAATAATCATGAAAATAATGATATAGTGGTCTGAGCATTTTACAGTTTTTAACTTGTCAGTCCTCCCAGCCGTGCTAGAAGGTGGACAATATTATTTTGCTCATTTTACAGATGATGAAACTGAGGCCACAGTTATTATAGGGTAAAACTGAGCCTCAAACCCTGTCACTCTGTCTTCAACATCTGTGCACTGGACTCTGTATTCCTTAGACCTCTCTCCTTCTCCATGTTTGCTATGCTTTACCCTCCATCTGTGTGTGTGTGTGTGTGTGTGTGTGTGTGTGTGTGTGTGTGTAGTGTCCTAGAGATGTGTTCATGTCTGGCTGTGCCTGTGGAGTCCCTTTCTGCATCAAGCCTGTAATCTGGCTCCTCACACAGACTCAGAGCTGATGGGGAGCCCAAATCTAAGGGTTCTACACGTAGGGCTTCTCAGGCAGTAAGCAGTGGATCCTACTCTGACTGACAAATCTGGCCCAGAGCTGAATTTATTTGGCCTAAATGTAAGATTCTTTTTAAATGATCTATCTGAATGAGCAGCCAATGTTTAGAAATTAGGAGATTATACAGAAAAATACACAATTCTGGTTTCTCCTGAAGACTCAGCCTGACAGCAATGGCCCTGCATCTCACCCGCACTGCTGTGAGCACTGACAGTACTCACTCACTGAGCTCTAAGTGCTGTTTTTATCCCCATTTTACAAAAGAGGAAAACAAAGCACAGAGAAGCTGACTGACTTGCCTACCATTACCCAGCTAACGTAGGGATTCAGAAGCCTCCACCCTAACCCCTGGGCCCTACTGTCTTTCTCCCAAGAGTTTCTAGAAGAGTAAGTGCCCTCCTTTTCCTCTGAGGGCAGCAAGACTATTTTGGGCCCTGCTTTGCTCGTTTTTGTCATTTGCCTGGCCCATGTAGGGGCATTGGGGTCTGCATCCCCAGCCAAACCGCCTAGTGCCTGGATCTGCCACCCAGGCTTCCCTGGAAAGGTGCTGGGGGTGGGGACCTTCTTGCTGCACCCAAGCCTGCCCAGGAGCGACCCTGCCTGTCCCAATCCTGCCCCTATCTGCTTGGCTCGCCCCTGCCTGTCCCGCTCCGCCCCAACTCCACCCTGGCCTGCCCCGCCCCAGCCCCACCTTGGCCTGTCCAAGCCCCACCCCCTGCCTGTCAAAGCCCCGCCCCTGCCCGCTCCTGCCCCACCTTGGCCTGTCCAACCCCCGCCCCAGCCCCGCCCTGGCCTGCTCCTGCCCCTCCCCTGCCTGTTCCAGCCCCGCCCTGGGCTTCCCTGGCCCCGCCCTCTCCCCCCGGGCGCCCGCCCTCTCCCCCCCGGCGCCCGCCCAACCTCCAGCGTACTCACTGACGATGTCCAGGACGCTGTGCTCGGAGAACGTGTACTGGTTGTAGCCCCCCAGGTCCCCGCGGAAGTAGTACTTGCCGCCCAGCTCCGGGCTGAGGCTGCTGAGCAGCAGGGTGCAGTTGCGCAGGCCCAGGTCCCCCAGGAGGCGGCTGCGGCCCTGGAAGCTCTCGTGGACTACCTGGGTGCGCGACTTGAAGACCACTGGGGGGTAGTTTTTCGGATAGGGGCTGTTGAAGTACCAGACACCATGCACGACAGCCGGCCGCAGCTCGTCGGGGAAGTCGAAGCGGCAGGGGATGGAGACGCACGTGCCCTCGAAGGCTGCGATGGAGGAGGGCATCCAGGCGCCCCAGTGACCCCCTCGAGAGGCTGCGGGCAAGCAGGACTACTGAGGCAGAAGGACATGCCCAGCCCGGGGCTCCCTCCACTTCCATCACCTTCCACTTTCCTGGGGGATCCAGGGACCCACAGAAACAGCTCCACCCCACTCACAGGCCAAGGGCCCAGGATCCCTGAGCCCTTACCTGAAATCATAATCCAAAACAGAGGCAATGCCGTGAGGAATATCATTTTGTACAGCAAGTGAGCAACAGCTGGAGAGGGGAGAGGAGAGGGTTAAAGGCCAGAAGTGAAAGGGGTGCCTCTACGAAGGCTTTAGGAAGGGGCCTGTTCAGATGTTAGCTGCTACTGCTATTTAATATCTATAATTACAAATAATTGTATGGCATCAACTATATACCAGGCCTCAGTGCTTTATTTAGCTATATTAATTCATTTGCTCTCTTTGACATTGGTGAATTATCATCTTCATTTTATAGCTGAAGTCCAGAGAGGTTAAGTAACTTGCCCAAGGCCACACAGCTGGTAAGTAGCAGAGCTAAGACTCAAGCCCTATCCGTCCGTCTAGCTCCAGGTCTGCAGACTTAACCGCCAAACTGTCCTTTCTTTACGTGGTTAGTGATATGCTGATAATTATCAACACCATTGTGCCCCTGGAGATTTCCAGAAAGTGAGGAGAGAGCCAAGGCTGAACCATCAGCTGGAAGGAGGGGAAGCCAACAGGAAGAAGTTGGATGCCTGCCCTCACCTCAGTCTCCCTGAGTTGGGAATGTCTTCAGGTCCCACCTGAAGTTATCAGCCAGCCAACCTGGAACAAGAGTCCGACAGGTGCACCTGCTCCCGCCTACCGCTCTCCTATGAGTTGTGGCCTATTGTAAGGCTGCCCATGTGGTCTTTGTTGCCCATAGATGCTTGGGACCCTCCCACACAGTCTCCAAGCCAATCTGTGGTCACACTCACACCCAAGCTGTGATGGACAACTGTGGGGAAGGATGGGGGAGCGGCAGACCACTAGGCGGGGGGGAGGCGGGGGTTTGGTAAGTAGGGTGAGGGAGCAGATGTCCCACGGCTGAGGCCTGGGGGTGGCAGGCAGGGACCCAGTCCCATCAATGACTGGGTTTCACAGTATCAGCATTCCCAGCATGCCGCGTGAATTCCTGCCGCCCTCTCCCACCCCACAGACGGTCTCTGGTGTCCCCACCCTCAACAGAGGCCAGTGCCGGTACAAAAGAGCCCTGTTCCCTCAAGATGAAGGTGCCTCATCCTGGGGAGCTTCTCAGGTAGGTGGTGGTGAGGAAAGGGTCGGGCACTCCTGACTGGGCTTTGAGTGGGGCCAGGAAGGACCAGGGGTTAGGAGTTGGTGAGCCTCTGGCACCCGGCTGCTCTGTGGGTCGCCTCAGGGTTGGAGCCAGGGTTTCCAAGCAGCTGCCTTTCCTGGCCTTCACCACCTTCTTCCCACGGACACAGATGCATGCAAAGTCAGACACATGCAAATGCCAGTATGAAATGTGACAGATCTAGACCCAGCCAGAAGGAGCCGGCTCCCACAATAGAGACTCATGGGACACCCGGTCAGGGCCCTGCGCACAGACAGGCACAGAGACCCCTGTGCCGATAGAACATGCCACCCTTGAACTTGTGGCAGGACAGTACAGGAGATAGACACAGGCGAGGGCCAGTGGCAGAACCTGGGCAGACATGTGAAACAAGCATGCAGACCATGCACTGGATGAGAAAGGTCTTGGTGTGGGTCAGAAAAGTCTTAGCTCTTACAGAGATTGTGACTCTCTAAAGGGCCACAGTATCTAAACATGTAAGAGTATATCTGGAGTAGTAAAATTTCATGGAGGGAGTGGGCTTAGAAAAAGAGGTCTAAAAATTTTCTTTAGTGGGTGTAATGAAAAAAAGGTTGAGAAACACTGATGTAGATCGGGACTCACCCAGGGGTGTGCATACTCTCACATGAGCACATACAGAGACACACACACACACATACACACACACACACACACACACACACACACACAACCTGTTCTGCACCCAGGTACTGGAACTTGCTCACTCACAGCCCACTGCTCCCCCCACCCCCTCACACCCAGATGCAGGATGCAGGTGTCTGATCACCTGGGCATCCCTCCGCTCTTCACCCAGCCCCAGACCACTTACAGGCCATCTGCCCCAAACTTGGAAGCCCCAGGGCAGCTGTGCCTGCAGCACCTCCACCCCGAGGTCCCAGCCCCTTCCCAAAGCAGTCCTAAGTAGCACCCAGCCCCATCCTAAACTAGTGGCAGTTCACAGCAACCAGCCATGGCGCGGATCACCTGGCCTTGCACGTGCTTGGGCACCCTGCCTATCCCGTCGCCACCGCCCTCCGCTGGTCACCGGGCCTGGCCCCTCAGCTGCAATACTCACTTGAACGCTCTAGCTTCTGCACCCTCTGCTCCGCCAGCCCCGTTCGCAGTCCCCTGGCCTCCCAGGGTCTAGGCCCCCACTTACCAGTCCCTCCCCTCCCCCCGGGTGCCAGGGGCCGCCTGCCTCCAGGGCCCAGCTCCTCCCTGCCCTCGGGGGAGGGGGCACAAAGGGGCCCTTGTCACCATTGCGCGAACTGGGCAGCCTGATGCTTGGGTTCTACTAGCTCCTTCCTGAAGGGACTGGGGGGCTGGCTGCCTCACTTGTTCCCCGTCCTCCATCACTGTGCACCCTGGTTTTGGGTCCTCGGTGGGCGTTCTAAATCTCTGGAAGCCTCGGGCTGAGGAGCAGAAGACGTTGTCCTCAGCTTCTAGGGAATCTAGGTGGCAACGAGAGGCCACAGAGGCTGGTGTGGGCAGGAGGAAGAGACAGGACCTCCCATCCTGGGCCTCAGTGCCACCTCCCCCCTCTCTAGAGTGGTTTCCCTGGGTCACATTTGGTGCCCACATCCTGGTCTATTTTCTTATAGGCGCTTCTTGTCCTCAGAAGTGACCTTGTATATTGACTGTCTCCTCTCTGAGACCATGAGCTCCAGGAAGACAGGCCTGGCCTATTTATTCCCAGTCTATCCTGCCTGTAGAGCAGCTTCAGGCACAGTTAAGCTTCATAAATGCAGAGTGCATGTGTGAATGTGTTTCTCAGCTACTCCATGGCTCCTTCTGACCAGAGGCTTTGCACTGTCCCTCACAGGAAGCTCCCCCTACTGTGCGCTGCTCCACACCGCACCAAGGTTACAGCCTGCACATCCTTTCTGCTCACAGTTTGCATGGCACTCACCTCCTTTGGGAAGCCTGCCCTGCCCTGCTCCCCAAGCCCAGCACCTCCATGGAGAGAGCTGCCTTGGCCCTCCCTAGTCCTCAGCCCTTTTGCCAACCTGCACTCTCGGTGAGCTCCTTCCCCACTAGCACAAGATTGCCAGAGGGCAGGGTTTCTGCCTGTCTGTCTGCTTGTTCACCCTTGTTTCCCTTAGGGCCCTGCCTGGTGCACAGAGGGTGCTCAGCAAGGATTGGGCTGACTCTTTGAGCTGGGTGGGGACAGATTCCACAGTGATCCTCCTGCCAGCAACCTCTCCCATTGGCTATGACCTCTGCAAGGTCGGTGGGGTAGTGGGGGGAGCTGACAGGGGTGTGGTTAAGTGTAGTAGTGGTTTGACTGTGAGCTGTTCCGTTACACTGAGGTATCTTTGGTCCTTCCTGACAGAGCAGGGGGAAGGGAGGAAGGGTCCTTTCTCCCAAGGGAGAGGCTGGACAAGGTGGGGGTGGTGAGGGGCGGAGACTCCCTCAGACCCAGAGTGAGGAGTCAGAGTTGGCTGAATGGAGGGGGAGGGGGAGTCCCACCCCCACCTCAGGCTTCATGATGTCAGACTCTGCCCGTGCCCTTCCCAGTCAGGGACAAAGGCCCATTGAGAGTGGGGTGGGGCTTGAACGCCTGGGTCCTGGAGAAGAAAGGGGCCTGATGCCTGGGCTTTGGGGAAGGACACCGAGATCCTGGGGTTCTCATATGTCACAACCTTCAGCAGCAACAAAGAATTCTTGGGGTCCGTCTCCTCTCTGGGTGTGAACTGAAGGCTGCCCTGCGGAACGGATGTCCTGGCAAGTGCATTTGGCAACAGTTACTAAGTCCAAAATCTCTTGTCTGCAGACTGCAGGAGGACTGGGGCACTGGAGAGCATGTGCCTGTCTGAGCAGGGAACTGACACTCCGATCCAGCTACCGGTGCTGCCAGATCCTTCCAGACAAGGCAGGTGTCCTGTGACAAACTACCACAAACCAGGCAGCTTCTTGTCTCACAGCGCTGAAGGCCAGGAGCCTGGAGTCCACATGCTGAGGGAAGGATCTGCTCCAGCTTCTCTCCATGGCTCGCAGATGGCCATCTTCATGCTCACGTGGTACTCCCCCCGTATGCGGGTCTCTGTGTCCAAATTTCCCCTTTTTATAAGGACACCAGTCCTTTCGGATTAGAGTCCACCTATGGGCTTCATTTAAGCTTGATTACCTCTGCAAAGACCCTATCTCCAAATCACGTCATAATCTGAGGTATCTAGGGTTAGGGTTAGGACTTCATCATGTAAGTTTTGGGGGCACACAGTTCAACACATAATAGCTATTTTTAGTAGCTGTTCCTATTTTTATGTAAAATACCTTGATTTTTAGGTGTTAACTCAATTTTATCTGAAACTGTTGTAGACCAAGCAAAACTCACCCCAGAGCAGAATTAAGCCCCCAGGCCCACTTGCTTAATGGTCCCTCAAGTAGGAGGTACCACTGGATCCAACAAAGGGGCACTTGCTGCCCCCAGCCAGAGTGGGCAGCCTCACCCCAGTAGTCCTCAGAGTGTGGCCCCCAGGCCAGAGTGGGCAGCTTCACCCCAGTAGTCTTCAGAGTGTGGCCCCCAGGCCAGCAGCACCAGGACTGCCTGGGAACTTGTCAGAAATGCAATGTTCTAGGGCCCCAGCCCAGACCTGCTGTATCAGGAACTCTGGTGGTCTGCATTTTACCAGGTACTCCAGGTGGTCCTGGAGCACAGCCTCCCTCCCACCTTGCAGGACCACCTGGAGGACTCTCTAAAATGAGAGGAGAGCTCTCGGGGTCATGGAACATAAGTAGCTTGGCCACCTCCCAGCTATTTATTGAGGAGGTCTGAGAGGCCTCCCAATGCCCCTTTTCAGGGACTACAATGCTAACCTTTTACAATGACAAGGCATTTGACATTTCCAAACCCATTTCACCCTCATCCTTTGCTGAGCAGCTCAACAGCCATTAACTGAGTACCACAGAGACACTTCTCTCCTTTTCTAGATGAGGAGTGGGGTTTCAGAGTGGGGAGGAGATGCCTCTGAGAGCCACAGCTAACAGAACGCCAAGCTCTCCACCTCACCTTCCTCTCCCCAGCCTCCAGTCTCATTCAGGAAAACCTCTCCCTGAGGACAAGCCCCTCGTGGTTTCCAGGGTAGAAGGCAGAAGCTGGTGGTGTCTAGGACTGATCTGGCTCCCAGTTGAGTTTAGTTTGGCCCACAGGATGTTGACTTAAAAAATCAAATTCCTTTCATCAGTTGCCAATAGTTTAAAAATCAGGGAATTTCACACAAGTGAGGACTGCCACCTTCTCTTGAAAAGAAGCTCTGGCTGTGTTTGGCCTGCCTTTGGGTCTGGCAAGTCATCTCCCAGAGCCAGACCCAGGCTTCCCCACTTCCTATCATACTTTGAGGCCCTTTATTATCACCTGAGCGCAGATGTTTTCTTATGGGCTAAGAAGATAGTCAAATGTATCTCTGTTTCTACCAAAAGTGGGGAAATCAGAAATATTGTAAGGAATACAGTTTTCAGGCAGAATGGGAGGGGACTTAATTCCCTGCGGAGGTAATCACTATTCTCCTGTGTGTCTCCTGTGCAGTGTGTCCTTGTTGGGAGAATATACCTTAAATGCCCCAGCGAAACCAATCTCTCAGGCTCACTCATTTACTGTACTTTTCTGGAAGGCCAGTGGTCTCAAACATAATGGTTTCAGGACCCCTTCCTAATCTGCAAAGTTACTGAGAACTCCAAAAAGCTTTAGTTTAAGTGGATTATATCTAACGTTGCTTAATGTATTAGAACTGAAACTGGGAAATGTCTAAAGCACAAGGAACACAATTTCCATCAGAGCACTGATGTCATTACCTTCACAGAGCCTCAGAAGACTCTCCTGTACATTCATGAGAGAACAAGGCTGAAAAAGGCATGTAACATCTTAGTTTACTCCATGTGGAGCCCTGGGAGGAGTCCTGGAGCCTTACTTTGAGGACTTTGCTAAGCATTTGAATGTGTTCCTGTTTCCAGAAGACTTCAAGGAGAGGAAACTTTGTTTAACTTTCAGCCCCAGCTGTTGCAGCATAAATTCTATCGTTTGAAGTGGGGAAGAAAGGGAAGAACAGAAAACAGATTTTCTTCACCAAGCCTCCTTGCAACCCCAGTACACACCAACCCTATGCACCCCACTGAGTACTGGCCCTTGCAAGACAGGAGCCCCCACAAGTCTCTGGCATAGGACTTGGGCAGGGACAAAGGGCAACAGACACTCTGGTTTGGAACAAAATATAGAACCAGCCATTTTATTCCAAGATCATTCATATTGAGTGCTGGAGGGTGGCAGGAATAAATAAGGGAGGGGAGGATGGGGGTTACAGCTGGAAGGCTCTACGTCCTGCAGCACATCCCACACTTTGATTTAATACAGCAGCCACAGCAGTACATGCAGATAGGGAAGTGGGTGTCTCGCCTCCTTAGCCTCCGGAGCATGGGCTGTGGGACAGAAGGGAGAGTGAGCGGGCTGCGGGCACAGGGCACGTGGGAGGCTCCAAGGGGTGTCCCAAGGTCCCTCACCATCAAGCCGGTGGCAGCTCCCACTGTGTCCTGAGTCCAGAGGTCTGCAGGCTGTCTTGAGGTCTGCAAGCATGGTATTGAGGATGGCAGGGCCCCACAGATCTCTCAGACTCATCCCACCAGCCAGCTCCTCCCCACGGGGCTGGTGTCCCCTGGCTCAGCCAGAATGCCAGCGGTGGCCTGGCTTTCTGGCCTTTTCTCCCCTTCCCTCAGGCAGTTCTCCTTCCTCCAAACATTCCCGCTCTGTCTCCTCTCTCCACAGCCGCTACTCTTCTTTGGGTTATCACCCTCCCTGGCCTGCATGCCAGCGCCCTCCTATAACAAGTGTCCTGAGCCTTGCCCCTTATAAGCCACTCCCCGCGCCTTATCAGACCAAGGCTTCCACCATTTTAAAAGCCTGCAGGGCTCCCCTGGCACTTGGAGGAAAATGAGTATTTGCACAGTCGTCTACAGACGTAGCATGTCCACCCCTCATCTCATCTCCAAGTGCCATCTCCTTCACTTACTAAGCCCTCTGACCCGGGACTGCACCATGCTTGCCCTCAGCTCAGGCCTTTGGCTCTCCCCTTCTCTCATCCTCCCAGCCCTAGGACAAATTTCATTTGCTCACAAGACCTCCTGCTTGAGTGCCAGTCCTTTATTCTATCTAAAGTCCTGCCACCTCCATCCCCCTTCCTGTCCCATAGTCATTCTGCTACCATCTTTTATGTTATTCGAGAATAACATTTACTAAACACATTATCTTATTTATATTTTAATTGTTCATCAACTAATTGCCTGACCAGGATGTAAACTTCATGAAAGCAAAGATCTTTTCACATCTGCCTTGTTCATTGCTTGATACCCACTGTCTAGAACAGGACTTCACAGAGTAGGCTCCCAAGAAGTAACTGGAATTGGTTCAGGGCCCCCAGTCCCTGCCACTCAGGACCCCCATCTCTGCACTTTGAGCAGCTGCCCATCCCCCCTTTGCCTGCCCTGAATTCTGCCAGTGGTAAGGGGGTCTCCCAGCACCTGGCTCTCCAGTCCTGGCTGCCCTGCTGGGCCCAGGTCTGGTGGGCTCTCACCTGCTGTGGGAGGACTGAGCCACTGGTCAGGCTGGCCAGGAGGAGGAGCAGGAGACAGGCGGCCTGGGTCTGCATGCTCGGTGCCATTGTGCCGTCTGGCTGGCTGTCCTGCTGCTGGGCTAAGACTCGCTCTGTGTCTAGGGCCCAGTTACAGTTGCTTTTATGGGGCCTGCTGGGGGAGGCAAGGGTGCTAAGCCCCCTCCCCTTTGTCCTAACTCATTTCCAAGAAGGTGGTGGCGCCGAAAAGGCGGGAGATAAGCGGGAAGAGTGACAGGGAACAGGGTTGTGTCACCCTCAGCCAGCAGAGGTGTGTGCAGGGGGTGGGGCAGACAGGGCCACAGACACACACACCCCTAGCCGGCCTCCTGAAAACACTTTCCCTGACATGACATCACCCTTTTGATCTCAGAAACCGCCCCCCCCCTTTTACCCCTGAGGTTGAACAGGCTGATAGATGGGCAGGAGCACGGTGACCTCTCATTCACAGGCCAACTTTGCCCCCTATGTCCTCATTCACAGGGAAGATGGGGGCCCCTTACTGTATGACCCCAGGGTGCCCAGCACAGTCCCCACTGCTTTGGTTTCACAAGAGCATAGGTTCTGGCAGGGGATGTGGGCAGCCAGATGCTGGGGTTTGAGTTGGCACAAGCCCCCACTATGCAGGTGTTGTTTCCAAAGTATCAAAACCTTAAGATGTGGCCCTGTTATCTGGAAAATGTTCTTGGGGACTTGTGACCACAAAAGACAGTGTTAATATTAATAACTAATGTGATGATTCTATGTCATCACATTAGTTATGTTATATCACGTTAATCTATGGCAGAGATGCGCTGACTCACTTTTATGTTGACTCAGCCTTGTCGCCTGTCCTCCAAGCGGCTCCTGCCTGCCCTATGGCGGGCTCTGCTCCGTACTCAGGGACCCTCACTGCCCTCTCAGCTACTGACCCTGGGGGCTTGGCTTCCCAGACCCTGCTCCCTCTTAGCAGCCCACCACGCCCAGCCCTGAGACTTTTCTTCACCTTATAGGAAGAACTGAAGACAGCAATTAGGGTGCTGGCCAAGCTTGCCCAGCCAGAGGCAGAGCTGGGATTCCAGCTTGGGAAGCCTGACTCTAGGGCCTGTGCTCTTCCCATTAGGCTTTCCAGTTCCCATGAAAACGCCAGAGGGTTCTACCGTGTGCTAGACCTGGCTGATTGGAGCTGACTATGCACGTCTTGTCATGATGCTACACACAGTGGCATCATATTGGTACCTTGAAACCTGCAGTGATAGTACTTACACCACAGACATCGGCAACACTAAACCAGAGCTTTTTATTTGGAGAGCTGGTTGCCCAGGACACCACTAGATGGGGAAATGAATCAAGGCTGCCCATGGCCAGCTCATTCCTCTCCACTACCTGAACCATCCTAGGGTGCACACAGCCCAGGGGAACCACAAACCTTGGTTCCCGAGACAGGCCTTTGGCTGTTTAGTCCTACTTGCTCCAGGGCCATCCAGCCTCAGCCTGACTGCTGGAGACCAGGGCTGTGGCTGCCGAGGAGTGAATACCTTCTTCCCAGTCCTGAGGTGCTGCCAAGGCCCACTTAAAACCACAGAAATGGGGGCAGGGGAGTGCTGGGAAGTCAAGGCTGTTCCCTGCCATCCATCTCCCCAATTCAGTCCCTGTATCTCATTCTCAGACTGCCTCACACTGGGGAGTGGCCAAGACAGGGAGCAAGAGCTGTCAGTGGGAAGAGACTGGTTGGGGACATCTGAGTTGGGGCAGGGTAGTGCTCGGGGGCTGCAGGTTGAGGCAGGGTCCAGTCAGACGGGCTGCAAGCTCGCCCACAGGGAGACATGGCAGCAGAGGCCAGGTTTCATCATCAGCCAGGGGCAGGGGTCACAGCACAGGCGCCAGAGCTGTAGTGCAAGGCGACAGGCTGACGGGCCAAGCCTGGCTTCCTGGCCATCTGCCCTTCCTGGGGGCGGGGGGCTCAAGGCCAGGCCCCACCATTGGCTGGGGCAGAGGGAAGGGCTTCAGCCCAGAAGAGTAGGGCCACGAGCCAGTCCTGTTTTTAGGAACTGGTGACATGGGAGACCCCAGCCTCTCCTCCAGAAACATGGGATGTGTCCTTGACCCCAGTTTCCTGTCCCCACACTACATACGTACACCTGGGGCCTCAAAGAGGACATTCATCCCTTAATTCCTCCATCCATCCAACCAACAGACTGGGTACCGTGCGGTATAGGATGGCAGGGACTGGCACACAGGCATGAGCCCAACAGCAGAGGCCCTCCCCTCATGGCCTTTGCACAGACCCCAGGCCCCCTCTCCACACATGAGATGAACAGATACACAAACAGACAAGGCGGGGCCACATGGGGCCAGTTTATTGCAGTTAAATACCTCTCTCTCTCTCTATTTTTTTTGTCCATTTTTCCATAAAGAAAATTAAAACACACACACACACTCAAAGGGGAGCAGGGATCCAAAAACAAGAGGTGGGGTGGGACATGGCCTCCCTGCTTAGGTCCAGGCCCCAGGGATGGCCCCCCAAAGGCTCCCCTCCTTCCCGTAAGCACCCTGTCTCAGTACCTCCAGAGACCAAGGAGGCAGCGGGATATGGCAGGGCCTCTGTCCTCCTCCCTCTTGCCTCCAGGTGAGACCACTAGAAGTGCTGGGGCTTCGTGGGGGCCGGGAGAAGGGAGACAGACAGAAGGGGGAAGGAAGGTATTGTTTCCAAGTTGAGGAGAGCGGTGGGCGCTTATCCACAGAAATGCATTATTTCTCTCCGTTTTTGTTAAAAATCTACTATAAAAAAACGCAGCTGGGGGAGGGGCAACTGTCCCTCTCTGTGCTAAGGGCTGGGGAAGGGGCAGCAGAGGCCTGGGGCAGCAGCGACTGCGTGGCGGGAGTGGGTATCACGGCCGGGCACTGTCGCCCACCATCTCCAGGTTGTGCTGCTGCAGCTGGGCACGGAGCACGGCGTTCTCGTTCTTCAGCTCCTCGATCTGCCGCACAACAGGGACCAAGAGCCAGGGGCTGGCCTCCTGCTCCTGGGGTCCCATCATGCACCCGCTCCCCGCCCCGCCACTCACCTGTTGCCTCAGGAGCTCATTGTCCATCTGCAGCCGCTCGGCCTCCTTGAAGGTCTCCTGCATGCGCTGGTTGGTCTGGCGCAGCTCCCGGATGTAATCGCAGGCCTTCGACAGGATCCCTCCTTTACTCTGGGGAGCGGGCCTGAGCGTTAGCGAGCACCGCCGCTCGGCCTCGGCCCATGGCTCACCCCAGGACAACGCCTGTGCCCAGTGGGGCAGACTTTCTGGAAGAGGTCAGGGGCCTGGGCCCACTCACCGCTCCTGTCTTGCTATTGTCTGCGTTACAATCTGGAATGATTTTTGAAAGCTGGACGATCCAGTTGTTGATCTTGTCCCTCCGCCTTCGCTCCACTGCAGGAATAAGACGCCACATGGCCAGCTGCACCACCGCTCTGCCCGGGCAGTCTCCCCGCAGGTAGGCACCTTGGCCAGGGCTGGGCCAAGATCTGAACGCAGGGAGCCAGCTTCCGAGCCCGCCTCGCACTGCCTCTCAACTCAGGACGTCTCACCTTCACAAGCCACACACACCCTCAGGGCAGCATCAGTAGCTGAGGACTTCAGTTCATTTTGCTCGCCTAACATATTTTTTGAAGGCTGAGCCAAGCTTAAGAATCAGAACATTTCACGTAATTTTCATCTTTTAACAAATGGAGGTGTGATGACAGTGGGCATGTAGCCCCTTCACACAGGACCCAGGCACCCCTGGCTCTGGTCCCTGCAGCCCCTGCATGTGATTCTCCACAGACCTTGGGTATCCCTGGAGCTCT